CAGCACCGCATAACCTCACTTCAGCCACGGGCCCAGGGACAGTGCATGGCCGTTCGGTCCCCTCACTCTGATGCGTACGCATGTTTATTATTGCTTGTTTGTATAACCGTACACACACTACATTATTCAATCGCTTCGCTCACTCAGCCGGCCCGTATTGCATGATCGCTACTGCTTCGGCGCGGGCTCGGGGCCATTTCGGCGCCGCCAGAAGGAGGGAAATGAGGATGGGGAGGGGGAGGGGACGAGGAGAAGAGGATGAGAAGGAACGGAGGAGGATGAAGATAATTATGAGGAGGAGGAGGAAGAGAAACGGGCGGAGGAGGAAGCCTCTCGATGGCATCTTGCGGCGCTCTTGGGGCCAAACAGGGCCGTCGTCCAGATGCTTCTTTGGGAGGCCCTGGGGTCTGTTGAGAGGCCGTTCGGGGTCGCCTGGGAGACATTTTTGAAGCCTTGTAGGGCCTCTTTTGAACCTCCTTGGAGCCTCCTGGGGTCTCTTGGGGGCCTCTTGGCGGCATCTGGGGCCATCTTGGGGGCCTCTCGGGGCCTCCTGGGGCCCTCTTGGGGCGGAAGGCTCGAGGTTTCGGTTCGTGGTCCCCATCTTGGGCCCCTCTTGGGGCCGTCTTGGGGCTCTCTTGGGCCGTCTTGGGCGTCTCTTGGGCCGTCTCGGGGCCCGCTTGGGCTCTCTGGGGGCCTTCTTGGGGGCCTCTTGAGCCGTCTTCGTGCGCTCTTGGGGGCCTCTTGGGCCGTCTTGGAGCTCGGGGCGCTCTTGTGAGGCTCCTTGGAGGCCACTTGGAGCGTTTTGGCGGCTTCTTGGGCCGTCTTGGGATCATCTTCGGCGTCTTGGAGCGTCCTTTGGGCGTCTCGGGGGCCTCTGGGGCAGTCTTGGGGGCCTCTTGGCGCGCTCTGGGGGGCCTGAGAGGCCGTACTCAGCGCCCCGCGCGCCCGAACTAGAAGAATTGTGAACCAGTTACCGGAGATCTTAGCACGCCTCTAGCCCGTTGGGCCAGCGAATTTGTGGCGGTTTCCCTATTTCTATTACCCAACGCCGAAGACGGCCGAAGAGGCCCTGATGAGGACCCAAGACGGCCCAAAAGGGCACCAAGACGGCCCACGATGCCTCTCCAAAAGGGCCCCAGACGCAATCAAGCGCGCCTCAAGAGAGGCCCCCGAGTGGCCGGGACAACCAACTGGCCCCCAAGACGCCTCCCAGATGCCCCACGAGGCCCCAAAGATACCCCCAGAGGCTTCCAAAACACTTCCAACAGGCTCCCGAGAGACTTCCAAGAGACCCAAACCCTCGATTTCCATAGGATCACAAAACGACGAACGACTAAACTTTTGGATCAAATTCATGTGTCTGTTATGAATGAAGCCGCGGCGCCCGTCACGCGTTTCAAACGCTGTTAGCGTGGAGCCCCCCCAGCGGTTGTGGGCGGTCTCTCAAGGGGGTTGGGCGAGGAACAATCATCGAATTTCCAAGAGCAACGCCTGGGCATCGCTTCCCGACGGGGTGATGGGGGCGCGCGAAACGTGAAAGGCATGTAAGATGGATCCGGCCGTGAACGACCCCAAACATGATCAAGAGCCTGATTAAGACTCTGAGACCGACCGTGAGGGATACCAAAAAGCACAGACGACAAAAAAAGGGCCGACGACAAAGAAAAAGTCCGATGACCAAAAGAAGAGGCCGACGAGAAATTCAAACGACAAGAAACATTTGCCAACGACAAACAAGGCGCGATTAAATCCGAAGGGGCGACGGCAAGATGCTTTTGGAAGACGTACAACACAAATTGTGGAGGCGCCGTTCGCATTGTAAATTCCTGTGGGATGTTGACCACGGGGCATATGCGTCACGTGGTTTGATCGGGCGATTTGTCGTCGCGCGTCCCGCGCGCCCTGAAGGTTCGCGCCCGCGCTGGGATTCCCCGCGCGCGCTGGTAATTACCTTCGCGCGCGCGCATAGCGCGCGGCGGATTGGCGCGCGCTAGAGATGCGCGCGCGCTAGAGATGCCATCGCCCGCGGTTCCGCTGCGGGCGAAGCGCGCGGCGCGGATGCGCGCGCCGGGCGGGCGACGAGCCCAGCGCGCGCCGTTGGCACATGCGCGGGGGGGATCACGCGCGCGCATCAAAGTAGCGACCCACCAAGAGCAGCGCATAGTCCGTCCGCGTTGCACACGGCGGGAGATCAGCGTCAACGCGAGAGCCATGATTCGGGGTGGGCGGTGGTGTCAGAGTTGAATTCGCATATCGCCCAACGCGGGTGGGCACGCTTCAGTTGAGAAGTCTGGGAATCAGCTCAATGATTTTTGTGAGAAGAAGCCACCATAGGCCCTGAAAATGCCCCCAACACAGCCGAAGGGGGGCCCGAAAGGACCCCAAACACATACGCATCCAGGAGGCCGGAACCATTGAAACACACACACACACACACATATATATATATATAGATGTCGAAAGCAGGTGGCCTGACCACTTTTTCGGGTTTGCCGGCCTACAAGATCCCAGGACCGCCACAAGACGTCACAGGAAGAGCCTTGTAGAGACCCAATGCAACCCAGGATGGGGAAGACAGCCTTTGGAGAGCCCCACGAGAACCCCGGGACGGCCTGGACGGGGCCAAGTGTCAGAGTGGATCCAAGCCAGAAGAGTCCTTCCGAAGGACCCCAACACACGGCCGAAAAAGACGCCCAGCGAACCCTAAACGCTCCCGCAGTGGGCACAACAAAACAGCTGCACGAAGAAGTTCCGAGACGGCCCCGCGAGAGCCCGGGAGCCCGAGATGGTTCTCATGCGGCCCCTTCGTCCTTGTTCCCCGCCACACGTCCTTAACTTTCTCATCGCACAGGCTCAAAGGTGCTGTTGGCCGGTGTATCAGAAGCCGCTCCTGCATGGGATTATGTCTCGCAGCGGCGGTTCTTGCCGATTATCTGGCAATGGCCCCCTTGGAGGTACGGTCGGGAACTTTTGCTTAGCGTGTCGTGGCGGCAGCCCCAGCGACACGCTACGCTCTGCAAGCTGATAGCGTGTCACTCCTATTCGCGGGACGGGAAGATGGGAAAAGTTCGGGACGTTGACGCTCGGGGATGGGGACGTGGATAGCGCGTCGCGCCGCAGCGAGGTGGGCTAGAGCCGGCGGCGCGACACGTTAAGCAGAAGTTCTCGACCGTGACAAAGCCAAATGTCGTGACAGAGGTTCCTTCTCTCCTCTACTTCCCCCCGCCCTGCCCAGCGCACAGCTCCTCCAACCCTTCCTGCTCCCGAGTTCCCTAGGGCCTCGCACCCTTCAAAGCTTCCTGGACAACCATGCTGGGCCTAGCCAAGGGCCCAAAGCGGTCAGAATGGCTGCCAAACGGCCCCTCAAGAGCCCCAAGCGCCCCCAGACATCACCAAACCGCCGGAAGGCGACACAAACAAGACCCCGCAGAGCCTTCAACAGTAAAACAGAAGTTCCCTTGTGGCTGTTGCATACTTTCGGATACGTTTCTTCGGTATCCTGTGTCCGAGACTGCCGCAAAGCTTTTTGAAAACCTTTCCATGAGTATTCGAATGTTTTTTTTTTAGACTGTCCAAGAGAGCCCCAACAGGGCCTCAATAGAGCCCCATGACAGACCAAGAGGGCTCCAAGACGCCCCCGACGCGCTTCAGATCGTGCCCCTGTCACTGAAGGAGACCATGGTTGGTAGCAAGTGGCCCCAAGAAGCCCCAGAGGCGCCCCAAAGACTCCTGGAGGAGGAGGAGGAGGAGGACGAGGAGGAGGAGGACGAGGAGGAGGAGGAGGAGGAGGAGGAGAAGGAGAAGGAGGAGGAGGAGAAGGAGGAGGCGGAGGAGGTTGAGGAGAAGGAGGAGAGGGAGGAGGAGGAGAAGGAGAGGGAGGAGGAGGAGGAGGAGGAGGAGGAGGAGGACCGAAGACCTTCCCATCCCAGAAAGCTCCCGCGAAGCACCCAAGATGAGTTTATGCTTCCATAGAGAGGGCGCCCTGCCGCCCCCGGGCTGCTTTTGATTGGGGGTACGCCACTGGAGACTCGAGTTCTCTATACACACGCGATCGAGTCCTCACAACTTTCCCAGGCACGACAGGAAGAGAACGAGGCGGACGAGGAGAGACGAAGGAACGGGACGGTGAGGAAGGAACGGAGGACGAGGAGGAGGAGGAGGAGGAGGAGGCGGAGGAGGAATGAAGAGGCCGGCGGAAATTGTGGTCTCGTACAGTACCGCACCGCCTTCCAAAGTTCACGATCACTAGTTCATCCGCACGTGCTCTTCTCATTTTTGTTGTCACGTTCCATGCGCTGTCCCTCTCTTCTCTGGCTGCTGCTTTGCTGCTGGTGGAACTGCTCCTCCTCTTTCGTGTTCCCCCCCTCGGCCTTCTTTGTCCACTTCCACCTTCGTGCTCTTCGATTGTCGTCCTCGCTCGCCCACTCCTTCCTCTGAAATCCTTCCTCGCTGTTCCCTCCTTCCTCCATTCTTCCTCTCCTCCCTCCCTCCTTCCTCCCTGCTTCCTGCGGCCTGTGGACAGTTGCCATCGTGAAAGTCGTATGCTCCGTCCAGTGTCAGCAACCTCCGCGTGATAAGAAGAAACCCACGTGCACTCCCGTGCACAAGCGCTCACACACGCGCCGAGAAGAGAGGATGGCAACGGGCACCAGGAAATGTTCGAACTCGATCGGATCGCCCGTCCGCACCTCATAGCCTCCTCTGCTGAAGCATGCGCTCACATTTCTGGGGGACGCGTGTGGAACAAGGTGCATCGCGCGAAGCGCAATTTCAATATTGTGTACATCTATGAATATCGAGCTTGTGTCTAAAGACATGTATGAATTCCGGGGGAAAGATCAAATCGCCGAGCGTGTTCTGTATAGCTTCTTTGCACAGAGTATGGGCGAGTTCGGGCGCTCAGGAGCCACTCTTCGCCGAGATCGTTTCCTTCTCCGCTCGGGTATCTGGCGCCCGTGGCATGGCGACGGACGACGAGGAGGAGATTATCTCTAGTGGCGATGGCCCCGCCGAGGCCAGGACAGAGAATGGCCCCTCGAGCAGGAGATGTCATCGAGTCGCAGTGCCACGATGAGGGAACCGACCAAAGCGAGGCCGCCTTCCGTGTCTCTGCTGTGTACGCCCCCGACGCGGACGGGCATTTCGCCAATGGTGAGTTGTTATTATGCACCGGCCAGTACCTCCAGTGGTATGAAGAGCATGTTAGAATGTTGGCAGTTATGGTGCTCGCCGCGTACGTCGGCTATTTCATGTCTGCGCTGGCGATGCCGCTCTCCGCCCATCTGCTGCCGCTCGGGACGTCGAGGTGACCCGCATAGACAGCCGCCGCACCACCACCAACGTTGGCGGGCACGTGAGCTCGATGGGGCTGCAAGGTGGCCCGTTGAGATGGGATCAGAGCCTGTGGTTGGCGTTGGCCTGGACGAGTTCGACCTACCTGGTGGTCCCGCGGGGGCCGCTGCCGACGACCACGGTCTCGCCGGCGCTGCCGCCGACCTCTGGCGGCGACCCGCTGCTGCCGCCGCTCCTCCACCGGGCAGATCCACCGCTCGGAGACCGGCCTGCCGCCCCTGGTGCTGGACCCCCTGGCATCCGTGGGCGTGGCACGGCAAGAGGGGGCGAACGGCGCTGGAGGCTGCCGCCGCGGCAGCAGCAGGAGGCGGCAGGAAGTCCCACGTGGAGATGAGAGGAAAGAGCTGTTGCAGGCGCGGTTCCGAAGCCTGGAGACGAAGCTCGGCGACCAGGCCTACGGCTCCGAGGGCTCGGGCGCTGGCAAAGGCGCCCCCGCTCCCGCCGAGAAGCGAGAGCTTGACGAGGTTCTCGCCGAGCGGGCTAAGAAGCTCCTCAGAGGAGGGTGGGGCGGTTCGGCGGGGTTGCTGCACGTGAAGGAGGAGCCCAGCTACCAGCGGTTCTTGGAGACAGTGAACGTGCCGGCGGTGGCGCCTCGGGCTCTGCTCAACGCCTGCGCGCGTGACGAGCCCGCCGACTCAATTGATGACGTGCTGCTTGCGGAGATCCCTTCAGTGCGGTCCCCTGCCACTTCCCGCGCCTTTTTTCGGCGCGCGGCGAGGGACTCCCCAGGCAAGCTGCTCACGACCGCCCTTGCCCACCTGAGGATATTCATGACGACGCGGGGTATTCATGGTATGGACGAGGACCTGCCCGTGGTCATGGTCAAATACTAACTGACTGGTGTCCCTCGCACAGCACCCCGTGAATGCTAGTGGCGGCGAGCGAGATACAGGCAGATGGGGACCCTGGCCGAGATCTTGGACCTTCTCTTCGATGGGGCAGAACCTGGAAGCGATGGACATGTTCATGCACATGTTCAAAGCCTGCCAGCGCGTTTGCAAGGACAAGTCGTGGAGGAGTGTCCGCTGGCTGGAGCTCACCCCGCCTGACCATGACATGCCCGCTGTGGCATCGAATTGGAGGAGGAGGAGGAGGAGGAGGAGGAGGAAGAGGAGGTGCTGCGCAAAACTGGACACGGCGAGTTGAAAGTGGCTGAGCTCACCCGCAATACCAAGTTCTCGAGTCAGGGGCTCGGCCAGGAGCTGCCCGCGCCAGGCTCGGGCGCAGCCCCTGCAGGCCACCCCTCTCGCCTCGAGTCTGGCGCTGCTGGTCGAGGATAAAGTTCTCCAAGGGCGCCCTCGAGGGTGCGAAGTTGTTCGCGCTTCGCGGTTCGGCTCCGATTCCTCCTCATCCTCCTCTTCTCCCCTGGGAGGCGGCGCGAGAGCGCGAAGTTAGTCGCACTTCGCGCTTCGCGCAGCGCGAAGTGCGAAGTTGGGAGCCCTTGGTTCTCACGAGACGGCCCGCGCTGCGGAGGCGGCAGGCGCGAGCCGCGCGAACCCTTCGGGAGGCGGCGCCGAGAAGCCCTCCAAGACCTTCATTCAAGGCTCTGAGGGCCCAGCACCCCAAGCAGGACGGCGAGTCAGAGGGTGGGCACAGGCAGCGTCTCGCCCAGACGATGCGCCAGCCGACACCTGCAGCTACGAGCCCCATGAGGAGGGTGATCCTCAAGGGCTCGCACCAGCCGCCAGTGCCCGCGATCAAGGTGCCGCATCCGTGGACGGCGATTCGCAAGTAAGTTTTGCGACGTATCTTTGTTGTTGCAATGCCCGTGAGGGAAACATGTTTAAACGTATTTAAACAGGGAGGTCGATGGGCAGTGGTGGAGGAGCGTGCCGGATGGGCTCTGCGCAGCATGCCGGACCTGGGCGTCTGGAAGAAGAAGTTCTGGGCTTTGCTCGAGGACGGCATGGGCCCGCTCACCCTCTCGCTGTTTGGCAGAGCGAGGCTATGCTCGCCACCCTGGGAGGCTGGGGAATTTCTGCCGTGCCTTCCGACGCCGCGCGCGTCCGCCGCAGCGGCAGGGGCAGAGGTTTCGTGATGTTTTGCATCTTTCCGTTCCTCCTTTGGCGTTCGCCCTATAATGGAAACGTTCCGATATTTGTTCCACGGGCCCCAGCGGGCCCTCGCACGCATCCTCTACCGCCGCAGGTGCAGAGCGGGCGGCTGCCGACATGTGTTTTTTGGGGAAGCTCCTGCTCGCCAGCTACCAGTATGCTGGGTCGTGCGGGGACGAGGCGCGGGGCCGCCGCCCGTGCTGTTCGGCAGCGCAGCGGTGCTCGATGAGGGCGCTGAGCGAGGCGGCGCCGCATTTACTCGGCTCGGGCATGGCCAGGGCGCAGCTGCCGCTGCTCAGAGACATCTCGGTGAGAGCCTCGAGCGCCTACGACATCGACAGCGGCGCCCATGCGCTCCTGCTTCGGCTGGATGAGCTCCGCCCTGGGCTGCCTCGGGTCTCCGCTCAGGGCTGCCTCGGGCGGAGGTCGCTGGACGCCCGAAGCCCAGAGACCATTTTAGGAGGCGGGGGGTCGGCTGGATGATCCTAAGGAAGCACTTCTCCCGTGCTCGCGCTGGCCTGGCGAGATCCCCAAGGCCGGGTTCCTCGTCGAGCCTCACGATGGATGGCCCAGGATCGTGGCTTACTGTGCCTTGCTGGGCACTGCCGCGCCCATCGAGAACCGGGACATCTTCTTGATGCAGGGCAAGCCTGTCACGCATGGGGCCTGCGCGGTGGAGAAGCGAGGGCCCCCTGAGCCTGGCGAGGTTAGGCAGTGCCCCCTCATCATGAGCATGGTGCCTGCCAGTAGCTGCATGAAGGCCATGGCCCATGACCTGCCCGCGCTCACGGCCTCCACCTCCTGGGTGACGATCGCCTCGGGAGGTGTTCGACTTGCCCTTTTGGTCAGGAAATGATCAGCAAGGTGCGCTGCTCGCAACCATCACAGCTTCACTGACTTGCAGGGTGTCCGGGCCTGAGCAGCGCCCACGTCAGTTCGGCCTTTATTCCCATGGGGTGGGTATTCGCTGTTATGTTGTTCCAGCACTTGATCGCCAGCTCGGACTCGGGCGGCCCCAATCCGGTGCTGGACTCTCAGGGGGCGGCGAATGGAGAAGGGATATATGTTTGCCTCTTGCCCACGTGGGTGAGTGCTGCTAGTGGCTCCAGCTCTTCATCGATGACTTCGACGCGCCCCGCGAGGCGGAGGGGGAGCTTGGTCTTGGCTCCGAGTGCCAGAGTTTGCAGCGGGAGTCGCGCCAGAGGAACGGCGTTGCCTGGGCTGAGAAGAAAGCGCATCTCGGCGAGCCCAATGTCGAGAGGATGGGCGCGCTGGTGGACGGCTACCGCTGACGCGCGCCCGTTCCCCCCAACGCTGTCCGAGACGATGCACCTCGGGGCGCTGTTTGTCACCAAAGACTCGGGTCTGATGGGAAACCACTCCCGTGCTCCTCGGGAGGATAGTGCGGGCGCTCGAGTTCAGGCGCGTTTTTCTCATTCAGTTTCATGGTTGTTTGTTGCTGTTCCGTTTATGTTTTGGGGGTGGTCCAGCGCCATCCTCCACCTCCCCCCTCCTCATTCCTCCTCACTCCTCCTCTTCCTCCTCTTCCTCCTCCTCCTGCTCCTCCTCCTCCCCCTCCTCTTCCTCCCCTTCCTCCGTGCAGACGAGGGACGAGAGAGGCAGCATGGGAAAAGAGAGGCACCCATCTACGTTTCCACTCCTCTCTGTTCCCATGCTGCCTCTCTCGTCCCTCGTCTGCACGGAGGAAGGGGAGGAAGAGGAGGAGGGGGAGGAGGAGGAGGAGGAAGAGGAGGAGTGAGGAGGAATGAGGAGGGGGGAGATGGAGGATGGCGCTGGACCATCCCCAGAACATAAACGGGAAAGCAACAAGAAACAACGAAACTGAATGAGAAATAAACATTTGTTGGCAAGAAAAACAGGGGGACCGATATGAGATGCGCCCCCGATGCGTATGTACACAACATATATCATTCCCCGTTCCCGTTTCCACTCCCTCCCTCCCCCTTCTTCCTTCCCCTCTATCTTCCTTTCTCCCTGCCTTCCTCCCTCGATCCCTCCGTGCCTCCCCCCGCTCCCCATTGCCCTACAGCCAAGACGCTGAAATGAGGACCGCTTTAGGTTCGGAAGGGGCTCGGGGGTTAGGGTCGTTCCTTAGATTTATGTCGCGGGATTTGTCTGTGGCCTAGGCCCACCGTGGCTGGAAAAGCCCCTTTGTTCCTTATTTGGCGTTCCTTCTGGTAGCACCTCGGCTGTATCTCCCTCACCTTCCCCTTTCCGCCTGCCTGTTTCCCCCGGCCCCTCCCCCGATGCGCACGCCCCCCCTCCCTCCCGCATCGCCAATCGCTACCTCAGCGCGCCGACTGACTGGGCAGGAAGAACAACCCGGCGGTGCCAGGAGGCGGCAGGAGCGCGGCGACGACGACGACGACGACGACGACGACGACGACGACGACGACGACGACGACGACGACGACGATGACGACGACGGCGGCGGCGGCGGCGGCGGCGGCGACGGCGACGGCGACGGCGACGACTCGTGCGTGCGCGCTCTCCGCTGCCTGCCGGTGCGCCCCGCGGCCCGCCAGGCGCCCCTCCGGCGGTCCGACGGCGACGACGCCCGCACCGGGGGCGGCCCGTCGCCGAGGAGGCTCGCGCTCCTCCTCCTCCTCCTCCTCCTCCTCCTCCTCCGCCTCCTCCTCCTCCTCCTCCTCCTCCTCCTCCTACTCCTCCTCCTCCTCCTCCTCCTCCTCCTCCTCCTCCTCCTCCTCCTCCTCCTCCTCCTCCTCTGGCCTCCCAAAGGGGGGGGGCCAGAGAGCCCACCTCCGTCCCCGGGATCCGGAGGGCCACAGCCGAGGCTGACTGGTAGGTCGGCCCTGCCAGATCAAGGGTGCCCTGGTGTCCTGTGTTGCGCGACCCGTGCCTTCTGCAGTCCTGTGGCAACGGCCCTCGGAAGGGTCCCCTCGCGTGCCCTCTCGCGTGTCCTCTCGCGTGTCCTCTGGCGTGTTCTCTCGCGTGTCCTCTGGCGTGTCCTCTGGCGTGTCCCTTGTGTCCTCTCGCGTGTCAGCCTCGACTGCCTCGCGCGGCCGCCCGGGGGTGGCCGCCGCCGGGGGGGGGGGCATCCAGCCCCCGGCCACGGCTGGCCTCTGGCCGTTTGTGGCGGTGGTGGTGCAGGGGTGCCGGCTGCGTTCGACTGTGATCTTTGGTGCGGGCCCATTGGGTCGGAGGTGGACAGACCTCCTACCCTGACACGTCGATTCGCGAATTGGCCGTTTTCGGTTCGAGAGGGGGCGTCGCGGCCGTCATTTTTGCGGGTCCAGGTCCGTCGGTTTCGGTCCCAGGCCGTTTTCACGAAGGGGAGGTTTATTAAAGGGAGGTTTGTCCACCGCCGCTTATAGATCACCCAAGGAAGGGCTACCCTAGGGCTACCCCTAGGGCCTACCCCTAGGGCTACCCTAGGCCTACCCCTAGGGCCTACCCCTAGGGCTACCCTAGGCCTACCCCTAGGGCCTACCCCTAGGGCTACCCTAGGCCTACCCCTAGGGTACCCCTAGGGCTACCCTAGGGGGTCTACCCCTAGGGCTACCCTAGGGCTACCCCTAGGGCCTACCCCTAGGGCTACCCTAGGGCTACCCCTAGGGCCTACCCCTAGGGCTACCCTAGGGCTACCTCTGGGGCCTACCCCTAGGGGTACCCTAGGGCTACCCTAGGGTGTCCAGTAGGGCCTATCCTTGGGAAGCCTAGGGCCTTCAGTATGTGTAATCCGCCACACAAGCAAGCAATGCCTTTAATGTCCCGCCCGCCCGCCCGACAAAAGGAATCAGCTTGTAATCCGCCATAATAGTAATCAACTTGCAATCCGCTGCCAAATGGAATCACTTTGTAATCCGCCACGAAAGCAATCAATGCATTTAATGTCCCGCCCGCCCGCCCGACCAAAGGAATAAGTTTGCAATCCGCTGCCAAAGGGAATCCATTTGTAATTCACCACACAAGCAATTGTTGCCTTCAATGTCCCGCCCGCCCGCCGGCAAAAGGCGCCCGACCAAAGGAATAAGTTTTTAAATCCGCTGCCAAAGGGAATCCATTCGCAATTCACCAAACAAGCAATCATTGCCTTTAATGTCCCGCCCGCCCGCCAGACAAAAGGAATCAATGTGTAATCTGCCACAATAAGAATCAGTTTGCCATCCGCCACACAAGCAATCAATGCCTTTAATGTCCCGCCCGCCCGCCCGACAAAAGGAATCAGCTTGTAATCCGCCACAAATGGAATCTACTCGTAATCCGGTACCAACGGGAAGCAATTGGTAATCCACCACACAAGCAAGCAATCAATGCCTTTAATGTCCCGCCCGCCCGCCCGACTAAAGGCATCAAGTTGTAATCCGCTACCAAGGGGAATCAACATATAATCCGCCACCAAAGCAATCAATGCATTTCATGTCCTGCCCTACCCGCCCGACCAAAGGAATCAGTTTGTAATCTGCAATAAAAGGGCTACCCCTAAGGCCCACCCCTAGGGCTACCCTAGGGCTACCCCTAGGGCCTACCTCTTGGGCCTATCCCTAGGGCTACCCTCCCTCTGCGCGCGGCCAACTCTGAGCCTAGGGTAGCCTACCCCAGGGGGGGGGTCCCAGAGGGGGGGTCGGCGAGGGGGGGTCCCAGAGGGGGGGTCTGCGAGGGGGGGTCCCAGGGGGGGTCTGAGGGGGGGAGGGGGGGTCAGCGAGGGGGGGTCCCAGAGGGGGGGTCTGCGAGGGGGGGTCTGCGAGGGGGGGTCAGCGATGGGGGGGTCAGCGAGGGGGGGTCCCAGAGGGGGGGTCTGTGAGGGGGGGTCTGCGAGGGGGGGTCAGCGAGGGGGGGTCCCAGAGGGGGGGTCTGCGAGGGGGGGTCTGCGAGGGGGGGTCAGCGATGGGGGTCTCAGTCAGGGGGGGTCGAGGGGGGGTCAGCGAGGGGGGGTCAGGGGGGGAGGGGGGGTCAGCGAGGGGGGGTGAGGGGGGTCAGGGGGGGTCTGCGAGGGGGGGTCAGCGATGGGGGGGTCAGAGGGGGGGTCTGCGAGGGGGGGTCAGCGAGGGGGGGTCCCAGAGGGGGGGTCTGCGAGGGGGGGTCTGCGGCGCCGGGGCCGCGGTCGCCGGGGGGCGGCGCGGGCGCCCTGCCCTCGGAAGGGGGAGCGGGGGGGGGGAAGCAGGGGATCGAGGGAGTAGCGAGGGAGGAGGAGGAGGAGGTGGAGGAGGAGGAGGAGGAGGAGGAGGGGGAGGAGGAGGAGGAGGAGGATGAGGAGGAGGAGGAGGTGGCGGCGGAGGCGGAGGAGGCGGCGGGAGCAGGGGGGAGGGAGGAGGCGTGCGGACGGAGTGAGGAGGGAGGAGGGGGGAGGCGTGCGGAGGGAGGAGGGAGGAGGAGGAGGAGGAGGAGGAGGGGGAGGAGGAGGAGGAGGAGGAGGGGGGCCCAAGCCCAGACCTCCTCGGAAACCGAGGGCCGAGCAGGTCTTCGTCGGTCCTCGGCGTCTCCCTCGCGTCGGCGTGCGCTCAGGAACGCGCGCCCCGCCGGGCACGCTCCAGGCCCAGACAGTCGTCGTCGTCGTCGTCGTCGTCGTCGTCGTCGTCGTCGTCGTCGTCGTCGTCGTCGTCGTCGTCGTCGTCGTCATCGTCGCCCTCCGCCTCCCCCTCCTGCTCCTCCTCCCCCTTCTCCTCCTCTTTCACTCCCACTCCGCCACAAGGGGCATCAATATGTAATCCGCCAGCAAAGCAAGCAATGCCTTCAATGTCCCGCCCGCCCGCCCGACCAAAAGAATCAGCTTGTAATCCGCCACAATAGTAATCAACTTGTAACCCGATGCCACGTGGAATCACTTTGTAATCCGCCACCAAAGCAACCAATGCTTTTAATGTCCCGCCCGCCCGCCCGACCAAAGAAATCAGTTTGTAATCCGCAATAGAAGAGAATCCATTCGTAATTCGCCACAAACAATCATTGCCTTGAATGTCCCGCCCGCCCGCCCGACAAAAGGAATCAATGTGTAATCTGCCACAATAAGAATCAGTGTGCCACCCGCCACACATGCAATCAATGCCTTTAGTGTCCCGCCCGCCCGCCCGACAAGAATAATCAGTTGATAATCCACCACGCAGGGAATCAATATATGTAATCCGCCACCAAGGCAACCAATGCTATTAATGTCCCGCCCGCCCGCTCGACCAAAGGAATCATATTGTAATCCGCAATAAAGGGTTACCCCTGGGGACTGCCCCTGGGGCTACCCTGGGGCTACCCCTGCGGCCCACCCCTAGGGCTACCCTGGGGCTACCCCTTGGGAAGCCTAGGGCCTTGGGTAGGGCCTACCCTTGGGAAGCCTAGGGCCTTGGGTAGGGCCTACCCTTGGGAAGCCTAGGGCCTTGGGTAGGGCCTACCCTTGGGAAGCCTAGGGCCTTGGGTAGGGCCTACCCTTGGGAAGCCTAGGGCCTTGGGTAGGGCCTACCCTTGGGGAGCCTAGGGCCTTGGGTAGGGCCTACCCTTGGGAAGCCTAGGGCCTTGGGTAGGGCCTAGGGTAGCCAAGGCCCCCGGTGATCTATACCCACCGCCGAACTACACGTAAGAGCGGCCCTTCGCCGGAGTGATCTTTGGTGCGGGCCCGTTGGGGTGCCCCGATCGACGAACGCGATGCGATAGTAGCGTCTTGGCGCGCTTGTGTTTGGTCGCCCCGCGGCCCCCAAAAAGCCGCGCACCAAGAGTCGCTCTTACCCAGGGTCACTCTTGCGAGTAGCCGATGCGTATCCTGAGGATCGAGGGTCAAGAATCGAACGTCGTGACTGGAGCCCAGGCAGCAGCGTCGTCGCAGGAAGGAGTCTCCTCCCCTCCGGGTTTTCCCCCTCATCGTCTGGCGTCCTTACCCGCGCTCGGCGTTTCAGCCCCCCCTCCCCCTGGCTTCTGGCTGGGGCGGCGGGGCCAGGCAGGTGGTGTACAGATTGAAGCAGGGTGTCGAGACTGGAGCTGGAGGAGGAGCCACCTCCTGTCGCTGTTAGGAGAACACGACAGGAGGTATTTGGCAGTTTTCCTCGGTGGCAGATCAGGGGAGCCTCGTGTGTTCCGGGAACTCCGTCTTTAGAGTGGGCTAGCGCGCGGCAGCGTCTGGTTATCGGTGAGAGAAAGCGCCGATTTAGTATCGACTAGCGCCGATTCAGCGCCGAATTATTATTGACCGGCGTCGGTTAGCGCCGATTGCGTCGGTTAGCATCGATCCGTAAGATTCATCCAGATGGCGTGGTAGGCTCCCATGAGTTGCCACCGAGGGGGCCCGAAGAATTCCCACCTCTGCCCGCTGTGAGGAAAACACGGCGGATGATTGTTGACCGTTTTCTGCTTCTGGGGGCCTTCACCGGGCCTCGGGGCCGTCAAACACTACGCGGGATGATGAAAAACCGATTACAGGGAAGGGGTTCAGACCTCTGGGGGTCGACATTGTGAAATCACAAACGTCGGAGTTTTTGGGTCCCGGGTCGCGGCAGATTGGGTCGGAGGACCGCGCTGCATCGCGGATGCATCGGCGATGGTTCGACGTGGGGCCCAGTTTTCTTTGCGCCAGCGACGTCGATGCGTCGCCGAGGCATCGCCGATGCATCGACGGTGCATTGACGATGCGGCGCAATCCCCTGACCCTATCTGCTCGGATTCTATTTGTGAGGCCTCCACCAGGGGCGCCGTGGTGTACGACATCGGCTCCGACAACGACGACCCCTTGGAACGCTCCCGCGCGGTGTGGGGGGGAGGTCGAGGTTGTATGACAGTGCCCTCAAACATGGCATTTGGCGTCACTTAAGAGCTGCACGTGTGTTCTACAGAACTGGGCGTGTTCTTCGGTCAGGCGGTTACGCTGCCGCAGCCATCGCCTGTTGCACCACGTAATTAGCTTACATCCCACGTAGATGTGTGCGCAATTGTCCCACATCGATTGCACCACAGTGCTCACACAACGTGAACGGATCAACATGGCTTGCACCACCTAGCTATCAAAAGATAAATTGCACCAAGTATACTGCACCACCTGATTTGGCGCAATGTAGCTTGCACAACACAGCTCGCACTACATTGGTGAAACACAGCTTTAGCAGATCGTAGTTTTCACCACACATCCTACATCACTGCTATGATGATACTTTGATTTAAACATATGATCTGCACCACATAGCTTGATTCACGTAGCTTGCCCCACATCCTATACCCCACATGCTGCACACAGTTGTTCAAACAAGGCATTGCTTAGGATCCACGGTGACTGGCCTGCGTAGGTTTTCTCGGAGTTCCGCAAAACGAAGACTCACTCCCTCCTTCTCTCCACTATTTCTCTTCATCCGCCTTGTCCTCCATTTCAATATCCTCCCTCCTCCTTGCGCCTTCCTCATTCCCATCTTCCTTCTCCTCATACTCCTCCTCCTCCTCCTCCTCCTCCTCTGTATCTCTCTCTTCCCTCCTCCTTCCTCCTCCTGTTCCTCTCTCGTCTACTTCTCTTTCTTCTCCTCCTCCTCCTCCTCCTCCTCTTCCTCTTTTTCCTACGAGCCTGCTCATATTGATACTGGCATGTGTTCGTATGATGTCCAGTGGTCAAGGCAGCTCGCATATATACGTTCTTGGATGGGCTGGTGTGAATACGCGAAGCATTCGTATCAGAGAAAGGTCTGACTTGTACATCGGTGGAGTGATTGCGTGCTCCAAACACTGTCTGCTGCAAGCACTAGCGACGAACGCGACAAAGGGAGCATCCGACATTGGATGCCCCTTTTGCTTTCATTTCAACAGCCATCGTCGCTCTTCAAGCTGATGCTCTTGCAGCGTTTCATACTAACTGAATCAGATGAGATCTGGGTTGGAACAGGGCATGCCGCGCACCCAACCGCAGCTGCTGCTGGAAAGGCGTGCAGAAGGATGTAGACGCTGCCCCTACCCCGCCTTTAGGTCCCCCCGATAGCAATGAGAGCGGGAATGCCTGCCTTATTTTTCAAGGGCTTTCGATGACGATTTCCGCCCTGCGTTGCCGTCGCTGTTTCCGCCATGCCGTTGCGGAAATGTCCGCCCCATTAGTCTGAGATTGAAATGACCGCCCTGCTTTTTCGCACCGTTTGGGGTGCATGTCGGACACAGCTCTAAATCGGAAAATCAGCCAAAGTATGGCGGATCTGGAGTCGGAGCAGGTCTTCGACGATACTATGTTTTTCGATGCAGCACCCATCCGCACCAATGTCTCGCGGTCCAAGAAGCACGCCAATCGGGCATTGAGAGGCCGCCCACCCAGACAAGTCGACCGAGGAAATCTGCACTGGTTCACTCGAGATTGGCGTTCGAGCGAACTGGTGCGATCCCCAGTCGGTTCCGCTAATCGACGTGCGTCTCGCTGGGGTACATTCGGTCGTTTTTGGACGTCGATTCGCTACCCAGCTGGGGTCCACTCGGAACGCGGTGCCGTGCGCACGTGGAGTGCCCCTGGCATTTTTCACTGAGGGCGTTTTGCTATAAAGGGTGCTCTGTCAATCTTCGAGCCTCTCGGAGGGATGCCAGCACAGCTTGCGGCAAAACGTAAAATATCACATTCGTATTTACGCTCGCTCGGACGAGCGTAGATATCCGACGATATGATCTGTTCAGTTCCGGCGTTATCCGTTTTTTTTTGTATCTCGGTCTTTGAGGGCCATCTTCTGGCCCAAGGGCCAGCAAAAATGGACCCAGGGCGAAACATTGGCCCTGGGGGATGCTGGGACCTCTAGGGCTGCGGATTGAAGAAATCACATCGTCGGACGTATGGGTCCCACAGCGGCCAGTCACTCGACCCACGGGACGGGTCCACAGTGGTGGCGTGCACGGAGAGGTTGTACATCATACGTTGAAGCGGTGAAGCTGTGAGAAGCGTGCCGCCGAGGATGTGCGCGACCGGAAGGAAAACCAGAGCAGATGAGAAACCAAACGTGGAGGTCCAAGAAATTAGGCGCAGTCGAAGGCCTACGTCGGCCTCTGCAAGGAAGGCGCCTCTCGGCGTGCCTCTCAGCGTGCCTCTCGGCATGCCTCTCAGCGCGCTCGCGCGCGGGCGAGCGCGGCCTGCCGTCGGCCCAGCCTTGCTGCCACCGCGAGCCTCCAAAGAGGCGTGGGCGAGGAGCGGAAAAGGGGGTGTGCGACAAGGGGGGGAATCACATGAGAAAGAAAGCCATTGAGAACCCATCCCGGGGGGCGGGGATGGCGATCCCTGGGTGGCGGCATGCCCGAGCGTCACGCAGTGCAGGACGACGCTCGGGCGTGCCACCCCCCCAGGGTCGGTGCCCACCCCCGACGGGTTCTCGGTGGGGGTGGTCCGTGTTTCTCCTCTGAGAGGGGAGGAGGGTGGCAGCGGGGAGAGCAGAGGGGAGGTGGCGAGGTCGGCGGGGAGTGAGAGGAAGAAGGGGGGAGGGGGGATACAACAAAAAATGGGGAGGGAGAGGGGAGGGGAGATGAGAGGGGGGCGGGGGAGGCGCGCGGGGAACGAGGGGGGGGGGAAGTCAGAGGGGATGCAAAGAAGCGAACGACAAGCCTCTCTCGGGGACTGCGCCCACCGAGAGCTGAGGAGATGGAGTTGGAGCCCGACTCCGACGCAGAGGCGGGCATTGGGCGGGGCAGTGAGGAGGAGGAGCGGGGGGAGGAAGGAACAGGAGCAGGACTGGGAGCAGGAGGAGGTGGAGAGAGGAAGCAGACGAGGATGACGAAGAGGAGGAGCGGGAGAAACAGAACGAGAGGACCAGGGATGACCAGGGTAAGGGAGACAAGATGGGCCAGGAGGACAGATGCATACCTGTGAGATTTTCCCAAGGCCGATAAGGAGGTTGGGGGGTTGGAAGCAACAACGGGACAACCATCGGGACAACCGTCTCCATCCATCGAACACCATCGGTCGATCGTTCCTACTGCAATCACATTATATATATGTGTGTATGCATACATGTGTGATGTATCCTTCTCTCCATAACACACACAGGGATCAACCATTACGATATACCTCACTCGGGGCATGATGTACATGCATGATGTATCATGCATGATGTATATGCATGATGAGCACGCATGATATACATGCATAATGGTTGGCCATGCATGATGTATCATGCATGATCAACCATTACGATATTCCTCACACATGATGTACATGCATGGTGTGTCCTTCTCGGACTTCACCAACCATTACGATACACCTCATCGGGACAACAGCCGGGACAACCTATCGGTACAAGTATCTCTCGACCGTTATGATTGTTGTGGCCGGCCAGAACTTGCACCACGTGCTTACTCGGCAGCACCATGGTGCGTGTCGAGACCCAGCTTTCCAGGCAGACATGTCAGCTATCGATGTTGTGATCTGCGAGGGCGAAACCTACTGTTACCCATTCGAGCTCGTCGACAAGCACGTGCCCGGATCGAAATCGGCGGCGCGCCCAGTGGGGAAGTGAGGGGGGGCAGCCCTTCTCAGAAGGTGGCGGTGCTTCTCAGAAGCCCTCTCACCTTCTGAGAAGCTGTCTGCGTCTCCGGAGACGGCTTGGAAGACTTCTCGCAAGGCCCGATGCCTCCTGAACCCTGTGAGCACCCCCGCCCCCTCCGCCTGCCCCCCCTGGGCTCGCGGCCAAGAAGATGTGGCGAGGCGTCGGAGGGTCGTCCCAATCGCCGCGCCCGCCCGAAGGCGGACGCGCCCCCGCCGCCGCCAAACTTGGTCTACATCGAGCGCGTGGCCGAGCTCGAGCAGCGCAGCGACGGGCTGCGCCGCGAGCTGGCCGCGGCGCACGAGGACGAGAGGCCCGAGCCCGCCCCGCGCGTTGGCTCGAGGAAGCGCCGATGGAGGAGGAGGGAGGAGGAGGAGGAGGAGGAGGAGGAGGAGGAGGAGGAGGAGGAGGAGGAGGAGGAGGAGGAGGAGGAGGAGAGGAGGAGGAGGAGGAGGAGGAGGAGGAGGAGGAGGGAGGAGGGATGATGATGATGATGATGATGATGATGATGATGATGATGATGATGATGATGATGATGTGATGATGATGATGATGATGATGATGATGATGATGATGATGATGATGATGATGATGATGATGATGATGATGATGATGATGATGATGATGATGATGATGATGATGATGAGATGATGATGGAGGGAGGAGGAGGAGGAGGAGGAGGAGGAGGAGGAGGAGGAGGAGGAGGAGGAGGAGGAGGAGGAGGAGGAGGAGGAGAGCAGGAGCAGGAGGATGAGGAGGAGGAGGAGGAGGAGGAGGAGGAGGAGGAGGAGGCGGAGGCGGAGGAGGCGGAGGAGGAGGGCGAGCAGCGCAGACTGCTTGGGGCCGGCGGCGCGGCGCGCAGCTGCAGTAGGACCGGGGCCGGCGGCCCCGCGCACCCTGGAGGAGGTGGAGGAGGAGTTGGAGGAGGAGGTACACGTGAAGGCGCCGACGCCCCCTATGGTGACTCTCAGGCTCCTTCTCGTTCTCTTCGTGGTGATGGGGATGGAGAAGATGGATCGGGGGTCCTCTCCTTGCTGGTCATCTTCGCTGGTCATCGCCATTAAGTTGCTTCTTCTCTCATTCATCCTTGTTGCTCCGCCGTTTTCGGGTAGACCGCGGACGTGCGAGCGGACAGGCCTTAGAATGCCGACTGACGCCTCCAGCGCTCGCTCCCGCGGCATGCCCAACAAAGGTACACGAGGAGGAGGAGGAGGAGGAGGAGGAGGAGGAGGAGGAGGAGGAGGAGGAGGCAGAGGGCAAGGAGGAGCTAGAAGAGGCCTCGGAGGAGGTGGTGGAGGCGGAGGAGGCGGAGGAGGCGGCGGCGCCGCCGCCGCGAGGCGAGCAGGAGGTGGGAGAGCGGTGGGAAGCGCTGGGAAGCTTGCATCCCCCCCCTTTCGTCTGCCCCGATCATCTTTTTCCCTCCGCTCCCTCCGTCCTTCTCTCTCTCTCGCAGCGCCGTCGGGCGTTCTCATCAGCGCTCGCGCGCCCACGGCCCCTGAGCAGCGGGCGGCCGGTCCGGCGCGAGTGCGGGGGGCCCCCAGGCGCCACCGGGGGACCCTTTCCAGAGGGGCGGGGAGGAGGGAGGAGGCCGCCCAGGCTTCCTGCATCCCGAGGCAGATCGTAAAGGCAGGGGGAAGGAGTGGGTTGAGCGCCTGGGCCACTCATGGGATGTCGTCGCGGCTACAGATGACGGAGTACCTTGTCTGTAAAGACGTACGTGGCGTACCTTGTCGGTCACGCTGCAGATGACGTAGTGCAGTAGCCTCCGGGTTGAGAAAAATGCAGTTGTACTTGGAGTGGTCCGGCTGAAGGTTGGCCGTTCTCATTATCATCATCGTGAGGTGCCACGCGAAGAGCATGTGGTAGTTTTTGTAGGGCAGCAAGCAGGCTTGTCATACGGCGGTGCGCAATGGCGACGCGCTCCTTGTACTCGTCCTAGGAGATGCGGCCCACCTCGTAGACGGCCTCTTTGGTGCGGATCCGCAGTTGGTGTTCTCTGTCTTACTTGTCCCATCCACTGGCTGCGATATTGCGTGGATATCGTGGTCGGAGCTCTTCTGGCGGCCGTCGTAGCTCAGCTTGTTGACCTCGTAGCTCAGGTGGCTCTCGGAACTCTGCTGGTAGCCCTCGCAACTCCACTGGTGGCCCTCGTAATTCAGCTGGTGGCCGAGGTAGCTCAGGTTGCAGCCCTCGTAGTTCAGTTGATGGTCTTCACAGCTCAGCGGTTGGCCCGGGTAGTTCTGGTGGCACTGGTAGTTCAGCTGGTGGCCCTTGGAGCTCTGCTGCTGGCTCTCGAGGCTCATCTGGCAGTACTTGAGGACTCGAGGAGCCAGGAGGATTCTCGCAGCTCTGCGTGCCCAGGTGGCCCAGCTGGTGGTGCTAGAAGCTCCGCTCGGTGTCTGTGTAGCTCAGCTCGTGGTTCCCGTAGTTCTGCTGGTGGCTCAGCTGGCTTCTTGTTGCAGCTACGGAGGGGTCACCCAACGGACCTGGTGCGCGGCAGCTTCCACGTCGTCATTTCCAGGGCCGCGTGGTTGTAGTAGCCCTTGCTGGTCAAGGTAGCTGTTCCAGCCAGGTGGCAGCGAGGCTGGTGCTGGTGGCTCTAGTAGTTCAGCTGGTAGCCCTGGTGGTTCAGCTGGCGGTCCTCGGAGCAGTGCCTGTGGTCCTCGAAGCCCTGCTTGTGGCTCTGGTAGCTCAGCGCTTGGTCCCAGTAGCTCAGCAGGTGGTCCTCGTAGCTCAGCTGGTGGATGTCCTTGCTCCGCAGGTGGCCCTTGCAGTTCGGCCCGTCGTCTTGGTGGGTTTGCGGGAGGCTCTCGTAGCTCTGCTCGTGGCCCGCGTAGCTCAGGCAGTGGCCCTCGTAGCTCCGCCTGTGGCCCTCGTAGCTCAGCTGGTGGGTCTCGGAGGTCTGCTTCTGGTCCTTGCACTTCAGCTCGTGGTAGCTCTGGTTGTGGCTCTCGTAGCTGTGCCTGTGGTCCTCGTAGCTCTGCTCGCGGTCCTCGTGGCTTTGCCTGTGGCTTCCGTAGCCGTGCCGTTGGGCATCGTAGCTCAACTTGTGGTCCTCGAAGAGCTGCTGGGGGCTCTGGTAGCTCCTTAGGTGGCTGTAGTAGCTGTGCCTGTGGTCCTCGCAGCACAGCCGGTACCTCTGGTAGCTTAGCTGGTGGTCCTCGTAGCTCAGCTGGTGGCCCTCGTAGCGCAGCAGGTGGTTCTCCTGTTTCAGCTGGTAGTCCTCGTATTCCTGCATGTGGCTTTCGTAGCGCAGCTTGCGGTCCTCGTTTCTCAGCTTGTGGCTCTCGTGGCTCTGCTGGTGGCTCTCGTAGCACGGCAGGTGGGTCTTGAAGCTCTTCTGATTGCTCCCGTAGCTGCGCCCGTGGTCCTCGTAGCTCAGCTTATGGTCCTGGTGGGACAGTTTGTGGCTCTCGTTGTTCTGCTGGTGGCTCTCCTATCTCGGCAGATGGGTCTTGAAGCTCTTCTGGTGACTCGTGGCTGTGCGTGTGGTCCTCGTAGACCAGCTTGTGGTCCCCTAAAGTCGTCTGGTGACTTTGGTAGCTCTGCTGGTGGCTGTAGAAGGATATTTTTATGGCGGCTGCGCCACCCGCCCGATTCGCCGCGAGCTTGAGCGGACAGGATGGAGCTGCACCGTGTTTCAAAGCAGCACCCTTGCTTGTGAATTACAATGCCCTGTCTGGGCCGCCTTTCCCTGGCCGCCCCAGAGTTCGGAATTCTGTGCGCTGTCGGGCGCCGTCACGTGTCTAGGCAGCCCCAGTGAATGCGTCTCCAACTGCCGAGGCGTCGCGAAGCAGCTTGCTGACCCTCGAGAGGGCAACGCGTTTCAAAAGGCAACGCAGAGATCGCGCCATCCAGGCCCAGCGTGATGGCACGCGCAAGTTTGTTTTCTTCAGGCCCCACTAAGATCAAGGCCCATCAACCCTTGAACGAGGTAATGCGCGCAGGTAGATTGCCGACATCGGCGGAGAAGCTGCGGCGGAATTACACCCCGAGGCGGGTGGAGATGTTGAAGGGCAAACCGGCATGAGCATCAGTTATGCCCGTGCTTTCTGTACTGTGGCGATGAAGTTGTTCGGGCGTTTTCCCTCGCTGAAGGAGTTCGGAGAAGTCGCGCGCAACCCCGCCCCTCCAAAGGGCGGTAGAGTCAGGGGGCGCTGCAGCTTTCAGTGGATTGCTCGAGGATGGAGATGCGCAGAAGGCTGCAAGCTGGGCAGGGGCTCCGCGCGCCCCGGGAAAGCCCCGATGCGAAGTTGCAGCGAACAGTCCAGGGAGATCGACCTTCGCAAAGTCGCGGAGCTCGGGCGCTGCACAGTCGGCACTGCTTGCAACGACGGCAGCTCTCTGTTTGCACGCGTTCACTGCGCGTCTTTTGTCCCGGTGCCCCCCCTTCTGACGAGCAACTTGCACAGCCAACGCTGCCTGGGAGCGGTGCATCTTCGCCGAAAGTCGAAATAGAGCAACATGTTCAGAGGCAAGCATCCTGGGCCGAGGAAGACTGACACGCGCGCTTGTTCAGACGGCACTCTCAGAGCTGGCAGCTCCGAGCCTGTGCTCTTCGCGCCACCAGAGCCCCCTATCCCGGCCCCCCCTCTCGGAGAGTGACCTCCCCGCCCCGCCCGGCTGCACGAGGAGGAGGCCGCCCCTCGCAAGGGAGAAGCGTCGGCCCCTCCTCGCCGCCTTCGAGATGCGCCGGCCATGCCCGTGCAGGCTGGGAGAGGCACTGCACCTGCGGGGGAGGGCCCACCATCTGATGCCCTCGAGGATCCCAGGCTGGCCTTGGAGAGTGTTGCGGAGTCCCTCCGCGCTGAGGAATTGCGAGCGCCCCCCGGTGACGCCTCCTCGTCAAGTCGTGGCAAGCGATTCCGACTAATCTGCTGCTTCGAGGGGCAGACCCCGCTCAACCTTGTGGCTTGGCGGGACATCACTTCATTCCGCTGCCCTTCGTCCCGCCTTTTCTCATGTTGCACGTGGTTTGGTCAGTGCCGCGGGCAGTGCCGCAGCGCCTGCTGACTGGTGGATCTGCCGCACAGGACTCTCGTCTTAGCTTGTGGCGGGGAAGCCACGGTACAGGCTGCGCATCTTTCCCCTGGACGTTGGGCTGCTGGCTCGCCCATTTCCTATCATCTTTCCTCACTCCTCCTTAGGAGGCTGTTTGTTTCAGGGTCCAGCGAGGACCAGATTATCGGGCTCGGCCCTCCCCCCACAGATGACCTCCTCTTGCCGGCTGAGCAGGTCCGGAGGGGGGGTGGGCAGGGAACCCATGCGCCGCGCCCGCGCATCAAAATGCGAGCTGCCCACGCATATCCTTAGGCATTCCCGGACGGCGCCCGCATCGCCGCAGCACGACTAGCACCGTCGCAGCAGCATCGCTGGCAGCCGTAAAGGCCGCAGCAATGGTGCGCGCAAGCAGATGCGGGTGATGGGCTTGTTTTCCACCACCACCACCATAAGTTGGAGGGGGGAAGGAGGTGGAGGACGAGGAGGAGGAGGACGAGGAGAAGGACGAGGGGGAGGGGGAGGAGGTGGAGGAGGAGGAGACCCCCTCCCCCTCCAACTGATGGTGGTGGTGGTGGACAACAGGGCCATCAGCGGGGATGCCCACAGCGCGAAGGTTTGGGTTATCGGCCGGCCTGCCCGCGACGCCTGCGGCGTCGCGGGCAGGGGTGAGCCACGCGCCCTCCCAGAACGGCACGTTTCTTTCGGTGAGGCTCGTCTGGCAGCAGGGAGGCCAGCGTATATCTGTATTCCAGTGTTGGAACACACACACACACACACACACACACACACATCGAGGGCGGGGAAGAGGGGGGTGATGACAAGGGGGGTGGATATCATGGCGTGGGCCATGATATTTCCCCAGATTTCATGGCGCCTCTTCTTATTCCATTACGTCCCTGGCCCTCCCGCTGGGCCGCGCACATGCCGCCGGTCATGATTTGCACCCCCCCCTCTTGGACACCCCCCTCTTGGCCGCTCCCGAACACAGCGACGATTGTGTGTTGTGGCAGGCTCTTTGCTCAATCAACCAATTTGGATTCGTCGTGATTAAGGACGGTGCTCTCGAAGTGCTCTCCGAGAGTGAAGTTGGTTTTCGGGCCTGCCCCTCAGACCGTGCCGCAGCCTTGCTTCAGAAAGCTGCAGGCCGCCCTGCAGCCCCCCGCAGTCTCAGGCCCTCGCTGCAACCTGTCGCTGCGCCAGCGTGGCTCTCTCCTCGCCCCTCTCTCGCTGCAGCTGGAGGCCCGCGGGCAAGAATAACATGAACCCCTCCGCCCCCGCCCTCCACGTGTCCCCCTCCCTCCCTCCCTCCTTCATCTTCCCTCCCTCCCTCACTCCCTCCCTCCCTCCTTCATCTTCCTTCCCCCACCTTTCCTTTCTTTTCTGTCCAGCAGCTCTTTCGGGGCTCGCCCAGGGCGCTCAGAGCTGGGATCCACGACAAGAACCAGTTGGTGGCGCACCTCGCTCGGAAGGCCGAGCTCTCTGGCAACAGGCAGGGCCGGCCAGGACGAGGAGGAGGAGGAGCAGGAGGAGGAGGAGGAGGAGCAGGAGGAGGAGGAGCAGGAGGAGGAGCAAAGGGAGGAGGAGGAGCAGGAGGAGGAGGAGGAGGAGGAGGAGGAGAACCACGTAATGGCTTCGGATGTTCTGGGATGTCTGAAATGCAATGGTATCATATTTCCGAAACCGAACAGCAGAAGCGCAGTTTTCCTCCAGCTAGACTTGCCTCCACAGAGGGATCTTGCTACTTGCTTTGCTAGGTGATTTCGGGCCGCGCCCCTCCCGTGGGATTCCCGCGCGCGCCTATTCGCTCCCAGAGCACACCGCGTGGCCAGCGCTGCTGCCAGGAGGCTCAATCCGAGCATGCCCGCTCGCTTGCGGCGCACATCGCGTTGCCGGCGATGCTGCCAGGACGCGTGCCAGGAGGCCCGTTCCGACCGTGCCCGCGTGCTCCTTGCGCACGTCGTCCCGCACTGTCGACGGGAGGCTGACTGGGAAGCTCACTCCGGGCGTGCCCGCTCGCTCCTAGCGCGCTCTGCGTGGCCAGCTCTGCTGCCAGTAAGCTCGCCCTGAGCATGCACGATCGCGTGCGGCCCACATCGCGTTGCCCGCGACGTCGCCGGGAAGCTTAAGCCAAGCATGCCCGCCCGCTCCCTGTGCGCGTCGATTTGCCAGGAAGCATCAGGAGGCTCGAGGAGGCCTCAGGACGTTCAGACGGCGCCAGGCGATTCTACAATGGACCACAACGCAGCTTCAGGAGGCTCCAGGACGGATGCCCCAGTAGGCTCCAGGAGGCATCAGAAGGCACCAAAAGGCACAGGGAAGCTCCAAGAGGCTACATGAGCCACCGAGAGGATCCAGAAGGCTCCAGGATGCTCCAGGAAGCCCCAGGAGATTCCAACAGGCCCTATGACGCTCCAGCCCAGCAGACTCCAGAAGGCACCATGAGGCATCAGGAAACTCTAAATTGCTCCAGCAGGTTTCAGAAGGCCCTGGGTTCTGAAGGACGCTCCAGGAGAGACCAGGAAGCTCTTGGAGGCATCCATAGGATCTATAGAGATTCCAGACGGCGCACCAGGAGGCTCCAGAGGGGGGACGCCTCAGGAGGCGCCGGGAGGCACCAAGAGGCTCCAGGGTGCCCAGGAAGCAGCAGGCGGCCCGGGAGCCAGGATGCACCACGCGACTCCAGGACGCTCCGGGGAGCACTTGGAAGCTCCAGGGGGGCACAGGGCGTTCCAGGAGACACCGGGAGGCACAAGCAGTTACCAGGAGTTCCAGGAGGCCCCAGATAGCTCTCCAGAAGGCCGAAGAATGTTCCAAGAGCAGGAGGAGAAGGACGACGACGACGACGACGACGACGACGACGAGGACGACGACGAGGACGAGGACGAGGACGGGGACGAGGAGGGCGGCGGAGGAGGAGGAAGCAGGAAGAAGTTCATGAGAATTGGCCTAAATTTTCAGGAGGAGGGGGGCGAGGAAGAGGAGTGGAAGGAGGCAGAATAGGAGGAGCGGAAGGGGGAAAGGAGCAGGAGGAGAAGCATGGAAAGGGGGAGGGGCAAACAGAAGACGAGGAGGAAGAGAAGGAGGAGGAGGAGGAGGAGGACCATTGCAAGCCCAAGACCATCAACTATATTGCAATAATCCCTCCAAGTTCCCTCTTCACAGGCCCCTACAAGTGATCATTTTCACTGAGGGAAGTGCTCCGTTGGAAGACAACCGCCTCAAACATCTGAACTGCGACAGAGCACCATTCCTGGGACTTCATCGCCGCGAATCACCGTTCTTGTCACGTACTGTCGATCCTGAATCGTGCCAGATTACCCCTTGCTCTGAAACATTGAATTTCCGAGACGTTCGCCATGAGAATCCTTGAATTTGCTGCAAACTCTAAGAGCGAAGATGCGCGGCGCCAAGGCGAGAGCCACATTTTGAAAAGGAACCGCCCTCCATCGGCGAAGCCCTTGCAGCCTGTGTAACACGAGTGTGCGCGACGCTAATGCGAGAGCCACATGTCGAAAAGGGACCGCCCTCCATCCGCGAAGCCGCTGCAATATCTTAACACGACCGCGCGCGGCGCCAAGGCGAGAGTCACACTTTGAAAAGGACCGCCAATGTGCGCGGCGCTGAGGCGAGAGCCACCTGTTGAAAACGAGCCGTCCTCCATCCGTGAAGCCGCTGCAAATGTTTGCAGCCGAATGTGCGCGGCGTTGAGGCGAGAGCCACACTTTGAGAAGGAACCGCCCTCCATCCGCGAAGCTCTTTTGAAGACGGACGTGCGCGGCGCGAAGGCGAGAGCCACATTTTGAAATTGGCCCGCCTTCCATCCGTGAAGCTCTTGCGAGTGTTCAGTTTACGTCGTGATCATACACGGCAAGGGATTATTAGGAGAAACGCATGGCCCGCCCTGCCGAAACGCCTCGGGGTGCGACAGGGAGGAGTTACTGATAAGGAAAAGGATGGGGGGAGGAGAACAAGGTACCACATAGAGCCACACTGCAGCTATGCGCCATCATACTTAGCAGCCACCCTGGTTCTGAAACCTCGGTCGAGGAGATTGGGATTTGGGGCAAACTCATATTGCATTGTGGTCGCAGGTGTTCCGTCCTATTTCGTCCAGGCTGTATAATACATTGTTCAAGGCGATGAGACGATATAAGGCGATATAAAGCGATCGTACGATAGAATATTGTACAATGTGGTAGTAAACGGCGACGTGTCGACATGAAACGAGGTCATGCGATACAAGGCAATAGGGCTTCAAAAGGCGCAATACTACAAGATGCAACGAGATGGGGCGAAATCCTAGTTTGCAGTATTATGTCGTATAGTATAGCCTTGTGCAGCTATACTGTGTAATCTAGCCCTAGCATTGCCCTGCTTAACCCTACGTCGTCTAAAACTGTCTTATACCGTATCTTCCCGTCTGGGCGAAATCGGGTATCAGATCGTGTTCTGTGGTCTTACACAGTCTAATACAGTCTCACCCCGTGGATATCGCATGATGTCATACTATATATTTTGATAGCGTCTCATTGTCTTCGAGCATCCCACACCGCCTTGTATCGTCGTATATCGCGTGGACGAAGTATCGCCCTATCTCGCATGTATATTCCGGTACAGTCGCGTCTATATCGACTTACATCGGTGTATAACGCCGTATCTTCTGACACATGTTCAAGGAGTCTGAGCGAAACAAAATAGCTTCATACAGTGTTGCCTTTTCAGTTCGCTTATTGCAGTAAACTGATGTGGTTTGTTCTATTGCTTTATATCGGCTTGTACCGTTTTGGCGCCGCATACAGGTTGAAGCAGTATGGGCGACTTGACGGTTGTACACAGCATTGCATGTCAAGTTCACGGGGGTATCGCAGCACATAGGGTTATACCGATGTGTACCGTGTTTATGGTATAACAAGTTGAATGATAGTGTACCAGTTGAGAGCGTCTACTATTATCCTTTCGCACAGGTCGAATTATGACGGCCGTATACAGCAGTACAGTGTAAGTTCCTGCGTTCTTGAATGTACTGTATGTAAACAGTCGTATGTCGCGCAACCATGTGTTGTATCGTACCATGCGCACACATATGTTGATAGGGCTTAGTCTTACGCATGACACCACCGCACCAATTTCGACACACCTCTCACACACTTCGTGGCCTCATAGGGAGTTCCACCGAAGGCTCCAGTGGCTGCGCTTGCATGACACCACGGCACCCATGTCGGCGCGCCCCTCACAGATTTTGTGGCCCTGCAAGGAGCTCCACCGAAGGCCCCTCACACGCCCCTCACACGTTTCGTGGCCCCATGGGGAGCTCAACCGAAGGCCCCAGTGGTTGCGCTCGCATGACACCACCGCGCCCATGCCGGCACGCCCCACACACGTTTCGTGGCCCCATTGGGAGTTCCACCGAAGGCCCCAATGGCTGCGCTCGCATGACACCACCGCACCCATTCCGGCACAGCCCTCACACGCTTCGTGGCCTCATAGGGAGTTCTACCGAAGGCCCCAGTGGCTGCGCCTGCATAACACCACCGCACCCATGTCGGCGCGCCCTTCACACGTTTTGTGGCCCCGCAAGGAGCCCCAACCGAAGGCCCCAGTGGCTGCGTTTGCATGGCACCGCCGCGCCCATGTTGGCACACCCCTCACACGTTTCGTGGCCCCATAGGGAGCTCGACCGCAGCCCCAGTGGCTGCGCTCGCATGACACCACCGTACCGATTTCGGCACACTCTTCACACGCTTCGTGGCCCCATTGGGAGTTCCACCGAAGGCCCCAGTGGTTACGCTCGCATGACACCACCGCACCCATGTTGGCACGCCCTTCACACGTTTGGTGGCCCCGCAAGGAGCCCCACCGAAGGCCCCACTGGCTGCGTTTGCATGGCACCGCCGCACCCATGTCGGCACACCCCTCGCACGCTTCGTGGCCCCATGGGGAGCTCCACCGAAGGCCCCAGTGGCTGCGCTCGCATGACACCACCGTACCGATTTCGGCACACTCTTCACACGCTTCGTGGCCCCATTGGGAGTTCCACCAGAGGCTCCAGTGGCTGCACTCGCATGACACCACCGCACCCATTCCGGCACACCCCTCATACGCTTCGTGGCCTCATAGGGAGCTCTACCGAAGGCCCCAGTGACTGCGCCTGCATAACACCACCGCACCCATGTCGGCACACCCCTCACACGTTTTGTGGCCCCGCAAGGAGCTCCACCGAAGGCCCCAGTGGCTGCGTTCGCATGGCACCGCCGCACCCATTCCGGCACACCCCTCACGGGTTTCGTGACCCCATAAGGACATCCACCGAAGGCCTCAGTGGCTGCACTCGCATGACACCACCGCACCCATTCCGGCACACCCCTCATACGCTTCGTGGCCTCATAGGGAGCTCTACCGAAGGCCCCAGTGGCTGCGTCTGCATGACACAACCGCACCCACGTCGGCACGCCCCTCAAACGTGTTGCGGCCCCGCAAGGAGCCCCACCGAAGGCCCTAGTGGCACCACCGCAGCACCCATTCCGGCACACCCTTCACACGTTTCGTGGCCCCATGGGGAGCTCAACCGAAGGCCCCAGTGTCTGCGCTCGCATGACACCACCGCGCCCATTCCGGCACACCCCTCACACGTTTCGTGGCCCCATATGGAGCTCCACCGAAGACGATACCAACAATTGCGTTACTCACAATTGCAGATGGTTGGGTCCTTCGCCAGGGTGATGTTTTGCCGTCGGATTGTCATTTATTGTCTTCTTTCGTATTCTACCGCCTGGTGCCATCCTATACCGTCTTACGTCGTCGTGTCGTCTGATATCGTCCTGTATGGTCTTTTCCCTCCAACCATCCCGTGGTGTATGTTCTTCGTTTTGAACCAGCAGCGCCCCGCGTTCCTCCTTACTCCTCCTCCTCCTGTTCCTCTTGCTCCTCCTTATCCTCCTCCTCCTCCTCCTCCTCCTCCTCCTCCTCCTCCTCCTCCTCCCTCTCATCATCCCCCGCCTCCTACTCCCATCGTTACCTCTGCCCTCCGCATGTAAAACATGTCGGCAGACCCCTCACACTTTTCGTGGCCCGATAGGGAGCTCCACCGAAGGCCCCAGTGGCTGCGTTCGCATGGCGCCACCGCACCAATTTCGGCACACACACACACACACACAAGCAGACACCCCCACACACCCACACACCCACACACACCCACACACACACACACACACGCGCACCTCACACGCTTCGTGGCCCCATAGGCCCCTCCACCGAAGGCCCCAGTGGCTGCGCTCGCATGACACCACCGCAGAAAACCTGGAACCGCTCACAGTTTCGTGACCCCGCTGGGATGCTTTCGCATGGCACCATCGCGCGCCCATTCCAGTACACACCTCATACACTTCGTGGCCCCGTAGGAGCTCTTCCGAACACACTGGCTGCGTTCGCATGGCACCACCGCACCAGTTTCGGCACACCCCTCACACGCAGGGAGCACCACCGAAGGCCCCAGCGGCTCCGTTCGCATGGCACCACCGCGCCCACTTGGGCACACCCCTCACACGCTTCGTCGCCCAATAGGGAGCTCTACCGAAGGGCCAAGTGGCTGCGTTCGCATGGCACCACCGCGCCCATTTCGGCACACCGCTCACACTCATTGTGGCCCCACAGGGTGCTCCACCGAAGGGCCCAGTGGCTGCGTTCGCATGGCACCACCGCGCCAATTTCGGCACACACACACACACACACTTCACACATCGTAGCCCCATCGGGAGCTCCACCGAAGACCTCCGTGGATGCGTTCGCATGGCACCACCGCAGCAAGTACGGCACATCGTTCACATGTTGGTGGCCCTTCAGGGAGCTCCACCGAGGGCCCCAGTGGTTGCGTTCGCATGGCACCGCCACGCCAGTTTCGGCACACCATTCACACGTTTCGTGTCTCCATTGTAAGCTCGACCGAAGGCCCCAGTGGTTGCATCCGCAGGGCATCACCGCACCCGTTTCGGCACACCTTTCACACGTTTCGCGGCCCCATGGGGAGCTCCACCGGAGGCCTCAGTGGTTGCGTTCGCATTTTCTTCGTGGCCCGAAAGGGAGCTCCTCCAAAGGATCAAGTGGCTGCATTCGCATGGCGCCACCGCGCCAATTTCGGCACAGTCCTCACACGCTTCGTGGCCATCTCCACTGTAAGCGGTATCCACAACGCGGCACTCACACTTTCATATGGTCGGGGTCTTTCGCAAGGATACGTATCGTCTGATTGTCGCGTCTGGTGTTTTATCGTGCAATCGTTGTGCGAGGAGTTTTGAATCGTCTGGCCCATTGTTCCATATAGCCGTATACCGCCTTATTGTCTGGACCAAATAGGCGGAGCACCTTCCTTAGTGTTGGGCCCTGACAGTCTCAAATCGTGCCAGAACGCCGCTTTTGAGATTTCAAACATACGAATCCTTGACTTTCGAGGCGAATGTGCACGGTGCCAATGTGGGAGCCACATGTTGAAATGGAGCCGCCCTCCATCCTAGAAGCTGTTGTAAATTTTTAAGAGGAACGTGCGCGGCACTAAGGCGAGAGCCACATGTTGAAAACGGCCCGCCCTCAATTGTCCAAACGGATGCAGACTTCTAAGGCGAATGTGCGCGGCGCTGAGGCGAGAGTCACATTCTGACAGCGGGCCGCACTCCCATCTTTGAAAATGTTTGAGGCGAATTCGCTCGGCGATAGGGCGAGAGCCACATGCTGAAAACGGCCCGCCCTCCATCCGTGAAATTGCCTAGCCACTTGCTGGACAGTCGTCCGTGGGACCCGACGTTGAGAGTCCATCGCCGTTCACGCCGGCCTGCAGCACCGAGAAGGCTCGCACGGGGCGGGTGGGCGCCAGGGGGCCTTCAGAACTTGTCCTGGAGGACCTTCGCGGGGAAGGCCTGCACAATGTTATTGGCCAGGTTCGCCTTCATTGTGACGATTTTGCCATACGTCTCGCGCGCTTCCTGGCGTTGGTCGCCTTCTTCTGGCGGGTCTTGGTCATGACAGCACTGGGAATGAGGAACTTGCCGTTTCCCTTTTTGCTTTTTGCGCTGCAATGCCCGCAAGAGTGCCGAAGGCCTAATTTGCTGCAAACTTTTGCGACGAACGCGCGCGGCACTAAATCCACAGCCTCATTTTGAAAACGGCCCCGCCCTCCATCCGTGAAGTAGCTGCAACTTGCAAGTTTCTGTATGATCAGTGGTGGGGAATTCTCAGGCGAAACGCCCGGCCTGCCCTACCGGCGCGCCAGGGGGGGCGGCACGAAAGAGTTTTTTATAAGGAATAGGGATGGAGGAGGTGGAGGAGAAGGGAGAGGAGGAGGAGGAGGAGGACAAGAGAGAGGAGGAGGGATGGGGAGGAGAAGGAGGAGGAAGAAGGAGGGAGGAGGACGGAGAAGGAGGACGCGCAGGGAAGGCGGAGGATGGAGGAGGACGAGGAGGAAGAAGAAGAGGAGGGAGGAGGAAGGAGTGAACATTGATAAGGCGGAGGAGGAAGGAGGAGGGAGGGAGAGATGAAGGGAGGGAGGGAGGCTGGCAGGCAGGGAGGGAGGGGGGGAAACATGAGAAGGAGGAGGAGGAGGAGGAGGAGGAGGCAGGAGCAAGAGCACGGAGAGAATGAGCAGACAGGACATCGAGGAGGAGGAGGAGGAGGAAGAGGAGGAGGAGGAGGAGGAGGAGGAGGGGAAGGATGAGGACGATGGGGGCAGTCGCGTTCGAGCGCTGCCAGGTCCGCTGCCGCCCACGCTGGCGACGCTCCAGCGCGCGGAGGTGGGAGAAGCCGCGAGGAGAGCACCGCCGAACTGGAGCCTTCCCGGGGATGGGCGGGAGAGCACGAGAGAACGGCACGAGGAGGGCGGAGGAGGGAAGGAGGGGGGGGGGGGAAGTGTTGGAAGTCACGGTGAAGGGCCAGGGGGGAGTGAGGAGGAAAGAAGCGGGGGAGGCAGGAGGGAGGAGTGAGAGGGGCAGTGTGGGTGGAGGGAAGACCAGGAGGAGCAGAGGGACGAGGGACGAGGGAAGCGCGTCCGTCGGAGCGCCCGACAGACGGCGACACGGCGGGGCTCCCAGGGGGCCCGTCCAACCTGAGTCGAAGCCGACGAGGGAGGCCACCCCGAGCACCGCGGGCAGCGGGCCCCTGCCTAGCAGGCCAGACCCGCAATAGCCGCGAAGTGTGTTGTGGAGGACGTATCCACGCTCACGACCGTGCCGCCTATGAAGAAGTCGAGGCGCACCCAGTCCAAAGCGATGCCGTCCAGCATGGCGAGCAAAGCTCAGCAGCGGCAGCTCCCCAAAGACTGTGTCACTGGCGAGCTCCGCACAGAAGAACGACGGCGATCAACCACCAACCGTCGAATTAGGCCCAGCAGCAGGCCCGTGCACGGTATGGCCCGACCCGTTTCCTGGACCAGCGCCAGGTTCATGCCCAGCAAGGCCAGCAGGGAGAACGGGGCCGCTCCCTAAACCAGCGCCAGGTGCATGCCCAGCAAAGCCTGCAGGGAGCACAGCATCCAAGCCGTCACGGGCCACACCTCCAGGCGCCTGCAAGGTGAGGGAGACATTCTCTTTCGGGCGCATGCCTCGTAATAACCGCTTCCTTCTCGAGTTGATGTTGCAGAGGAAGGTCTTGCCACGGCCCTCTCCCGATGGGACACCACCGCATCGGGCCAGCAGCTGCTTGGAAACACCTCTACCAGACCAAGCCACACACACACACACACACACTTCACAAAAGATGGTTGGCCCTGCACGTCTGAGGCGGTGCTCGTTGCATACCAGAACATCAGCAACCGCCCACTCCGAGACCGTTTTGTGCTCGTCAAGTCCAGGGTCTTCAGAGCAGGGTGCTTTGTCCAGAGCCGCCATCGCAAAAGCGCCAGCGGCAAAAATCTGGACTTCGGAACCCCCTTCGAACTGAGTCATGGCGTCCGCTCGGAGTGCATCCAAGCGGTTCGCCTGGCACGGAGCACGCAGGTAGAAGTTCCACGCCGCCGTCGTACAGTAGCTCGTTCGCTTGGCACACCGCCTGCACACAACCGTCCCGCCTCTCAGCTTGACGATGGAATGAGAAGTGACCTGCACAGGCGGTTGTCGCACCTCATCTGCACGTCGCGGCGCATCGGACACTTGCGGGTCCCACTAGCCAATCTTCAGCGTTCGCTGCATGGCCCAGCCGATGCACGACGCGATCTTCTTGACGAAGGCCAGCTCCACCCTGTAGAACTCCCCATGCACCTTGGGCGGCGCATGTGCCTCAGCACCACGTCGCGCAAACCAGTCCGCGCACATGTTGCCCAGGTAGCGCACTGGGCTGAGGTCCCGCTCCAAATAGTCGTCGAGACAACGATGGGCAGGGATCCAGTGAACGTGGGACGAGTCGTCGACCTTGTGCTCGTAGAGCGCGCCAAACAGTAGCATTCACCGCAGCGGCACTCTCCAGCCAGGGCCCCCGCGACTCCGACTCAGACGCCAGCGCCAGCAGGTCTGCGAGCACGAACTCCAAGTTGGGCCCGAAGTGCCTCACAGCCGTGAGCAGCGCGCGCCGTTCGGACCTGCCGACCGTCCGCAGGGCCCATGTGCAGGCCCGTACATTGCACGCAATGGCACTCCTTGCCGCCCCATCTGCACTACTGCCCAGTCGCGCCGCCGTCTTTCAGGGATGGACGCCGCAAGCCCTGAGCCGCCGGTGTAGACGATGCTGCCGAAACGCACCTCTGCCGTGCTCCAGTCGCCCCAGAAATAGATCGGCACACCAGCTGCGACCTTGGGCAACGACAGAGGAACGCACAGAAGACAGACGCCCACCTCGAGCGCGTCGAAGGACGTCTGCAGCCCCTTGTCGCGCATGAAGTCACGGATCCCCACCAACTTCTCAGGCGCCACTTCGCCAGACACCTCAGTATCATCCGCTGGCGCCGCCACCTCACAGCACTCGAAAAACCTGCGCCCTGGCGAGCCACGCGGTGCCCCGCATGCCCAACAGAAGAAGCACTTGCCAACTTCAAGTCAAACTTGGCCTGGCGTGTCCACGGTGCCCCTGACCAATGGGCTTTCAAATGGGATGATTGGGGCCCCTCTGCAACGGCCGCCTTCTGAGCACCAGCGCACTGCCGCAAGGCCCTCGCCCACAATTGCGCATGCTCGCCCGTTGGGCGCTCGAACCTCGGTCCTTAGGGCTGATCGCCACCAGGTTGAACTTCTCGCCCCTGTCGTTCACAAGCACCGTGGAAGAGAACATGCGCCAATCAATTCGCCGCAAAGTGAGAATCGTAGACGACATGGGACCTCTCGCATAGGTCCAAGTAGCCTAATCCTGCGCCACCATGTTGGTCGTGATCTGGGACCACGCGTGGTGTAACTGGCTGAGCGACGTCCTCTGCTCCCAAATCGTAGCGGCATATCTGCGCGCAAGGTCGCGCGTCGCCATGTAGATAGGGTCGAACTCTTGTGCCCTCTGCGTCGCCAAGTACAGAGTGACATTTGGAGAGCCACTCCGAGAACCCACCAGGCGTCCCGCTTCAGCACGAATCTGAGCGAGGCGCGTGTCGGAAAGGCCCGAGACCCCAGCGCCATGTCCAGCGCCGGGCAAAAGCCCAGTCTTCCACAGACAAACTACCTTCTTGTCCACCGCGTTCTGGAACATATCCAATCTGCGACGCCTGGCCACAGCGCCCGCAAGTCGCTGCGAAGTAAGCCGCCGAGACTTGTGCACGCCACAAAGGTCGTGACCTAAGTGGCGGATCCAACTCTTGCGCTTCAGGCCCGCGGCGCCGCCATGCATCCGGCGCGCCGCCGCCGCCGAGTTCGACGGCGCGTGCCCCGACTTCTCGACCTGAATAACGATTTCAAGACTATGCACCTTCGCGAAACCTGACAACCACAGCCCAGAGGTGCTCCGGCTGCGCTGGCGACTCCGCGATCCACTGCAGGCTGATGTCGTCGATCAACGCTCTCGGGATAACTGGGGGGGATCAGACACTTGCCAACAACCTATAGAGCAGAGCCGACGCCAAGAAGCACGCGTGCGAGCAGCCCGCCAGGTTGCCCTGCCATGCCACGACCTGCTCACTTACCGATCCGAACGCTCGTCGCCTCCTCGGCCGGCGATGAAGCTCCAGCAACGTCCCGATCAATCGAAGGTCCACGTCAACAGCCCGAGCCTCATTACGCAAGGCCTGGGGGATGATGACCCCGAAGAACTTGAAGGAGTCCATGAGCACAGTCAACGAGCGCAGCTTGCAGGCCTCTGCAATCTAAGCCTCCATGTTCAGTTGAAATGCCGAATCCGACGAGGTGCGCCCAGAACAGCCCCCAAATACCAGAACTCGGATGCGCGCCAACCCAGGAACGCGAGATGGCCATTCTGACCCTCGGCCATATACGCATCACGCCATCCATAAGCGCGATGAGCCGACAACCGCCGCTAGGCTTCGGCAAGCGCACCATCTCAGGCCACAGCCGGTCGTCGGGCCAGGCAAGAAGACATTCGCATCGCTCGAACAGCGCAGCCAACACCTATAGGCCAGCGTCCGAGAGATGAAGAAAGGCACGAACTCCAATATTGCCAGGCCCTGTCGCCGTCGAGACAGAGAAAGAAGAGATTGCATCCTTCATCGTGCCCACAATGATGGGTGGAAGAGCAGGCCAGCCACCAGCGCCACCTGGAAGTTCATGCTGCTCAAGGTCATGACAGCGCCAAATATTGGCCCAGGGGGGCATCTCGCGATCGCATACTCTAATAGGAGAAGCCGTCGTACCTCGATCGTTCCGCTGAGTCAAAGCCAACTGCAGCTCCTCGGTCTCCGTGGGTTGGCGCGCACTGATAGCCCCTCTGACTAAGCTGCCGCGAGCAAAACTAACCCGAGACGCCTGCTTGACCCCCGCCAGCTTGTCATAGCGTTTCTTGCAGCGCTCCACGATCGTGCTGGCGAACTCAACAAAGTCGTTTATGCCGAGGATGCCGATGCCGCCTGCGAAGAATTCCTGCTCGTCCTTGGTCAACAAGCAAAGGACCTCGGCGTCAGAGCAAACCTTCGCCAAGTACGACAGCGCCTCTAGCAGGAAGGCCGCGATCTCACTGAAACTCGTCGGTTCCAGCGCGCGCGCAAGCTCAGCTCGACGCAGCAGGACCAAAGACTTCTGGACGTGCGCGCGAACACCCATGCGATGTCGATCCCACCTGGATGCACCCTTCCTGGCCGGCGCCTCTCTTCCCAGTCGGGCCCGCCGCGCAGGTAGAACCCACTTGACAGGCTTGAGCGTGGTTTCGATCTTGCCTGCCCGTCCTGTGAACTGCAGCCGCCGATCTCCCACCATGTCGCACCTGTCCAGAAGCCCCGACTCCAAGGTGGAAAGAACCTTGCCCCAGGCGAATGGCAACCCATCAGGGTCAGCAGCGGCTCGAACAGCTGCCGGCGCAGGACCCCAATCCTCAACTCCCCTAGCACATCCGACAGGAGGAACTGCAGGAATGGCAAAGGGCATCACTGGCACGCGAATACTGAGCTCGAGGTCGTCAGCCGCCAGCTCCATGTGCACGGGTAGATGCTGCGCCGTAGTTCCGCCCGCTTGCACCCAGGGTTCGCAGACCCGCGGCGCGAGGTTCGCGCCAAGCACGAAGCAGTCAACGGTGGACGCTCGCTCGACCTGCGCTGGACGACGCGTCGTGCTCCTGGGAACCGCAAAGAGCGCACCAGTGTCCGCCATGCACGAAGCCGCCAGCAACACCATAATCATGTTGAAATCTCCACACACGACGCAATCAATCTGAGCCGCCGCCAGCTTGGCCAAGCAGCACGCCAACGTCCAGAG